TTTTTTTTTTTCTACTTACCTTTAGCTAGCAGTGCATTTATCAATTTGTTGTAATGGTCAATCCCTGCTTGATTAACATCGCCAGTTCCATCTGCACAAGTAGTCAACATTGTCATGAATTATTATGGGAGGTTATTTCAGTTATTATCAAAGCACCATATTGGTTGTAAGTTTTTTTTTTCTTAATTAGGAAAAGGCTAATGATGATAAGATTATGATGTAACCAATGAGCCATAACTAAGGAGGGATATCTACCAGTAGTTCTCTTAATTTTTCGTATCAGAGTTATTTATTTACATATTTCATCATATATTCCAACACATTATTTTTATAAAATACGTTCACGAGCCAAAATTTAAGATCAATTGTGGAACTAGGGGGACTAGGGTTGACCCTCGCACCTTAAGTATGGGAAAACTCCTATTATGGTTATATATAGTACAAAAATACTACTCTTAAATAATCGAGTAGTTATATGTATTGTGAAAGAGGTAAATTTTTTCAACACTTCCCACTTTAAACTTGTGTTTTGACCATTGCTTAGAACCCGAGAGAACCAATAAGGGGATTGAATAAAATTATAGAGATGCTAGAAAGTAATGCCCAAAAGATGGTGTCCATCGAACTCTCCTCAAAAATGGATTTGGAGGGAAGCCACATGCATCAGTTGTGTACATATTAATGCTAGAATTATCAAAAATATCATCATAGCATCTATTTTGCAACATTATTGACATGAGTTTAGGCATTCGTGAGGAAGAATGTCAAACATATTGTAATAGCCCAAATTCTCACCCATTAAAATATTATTCCGTTTGGCCTAATGTCCTCACCATTTTGTCCCATTGGTGTAATTTCCAAGAGGTCACCCATCCTAAAAGTGCCCCCTTATGAACACATTTAACTTTAAAATTTCTAAAAAACTCTAGCTAGTATAACAAAAGGTATAGCTATGCTTAAGAGTTTGGTTCATTCTACTCGGAATCATCCGTGAGAAAAATATTCCCATCTTCAAATTAGTGAAATGCTATGATATCATTTGTAACAACCCAAATTCTCACTCAATGAGATATTGTCCACTTTGGCCTAATGACCTCATGAGTTGTCCCATTTGTGTAACTTCTCAAAAAGTCATTCATCTCAACAGTGCACCCGTATGAGCACACATAACTTTAGAGTTTTCGATAAAATTCCAACCATTAAATCAAAAGGCGCATCGACGTTTAAGAGCAAAGCTTCAATCTACTGAAGGGGTTTCACACATATAACTTGGCAATAAATTTTTGCATACAGCTCCCATAACTTTCATGACTGATCAAAACTTGATATTACTGACATGTAAAAGTGCATTATCTTTACTTTTAAAAAAGTTAAAGTTTAGGAATACACAAATTAAATCCACAGTCTTGTATTTAATAAGAAAGAATCAAATAGATTTTTACCTTATCATTCTTTGCCTATCGGACTTTGAAAGACAATTAAACTAAGATTTTTGCACAGTTGAACATGTTCCTTTAAGATTAATTAAACAAAATATCACTGTAATTCTACAGTACTTCGGAATGCAGACATACTTATCTGATAGTGATGAAAAATTAAGATAAAGTCAACTCCCCAAGAAAGATTCAAAACACTAATAATCTACTAAAAAAATATTCAACAAGAATACATGAACTTATATGAAGACCTATATAAAAAGAAATAAATTTATCAGTCGTATTAAAAAAATTACTTGGAAAAATACGGGACCAAGCAATTGAAAACCTGTAAGCATCCATTCCAATATCAGCCATGAGTTGCACATCCTCCTGCATCAAATATTCTGCACTATTAAAACATTATTACTTTGTTTTTCTCCTTAATAGAGCAAATTGATATTAAGCTTGACCTCATATCTGTGATACTGATCAACAGCAACATCAGCATTGCTGAAATCTATGATCTTACCTGTAAATTAGAAAAAAATCCTTTCTTTTTAGAAACTTCCAAGAGACATTTACATGCATACCACATAATTCTTATTTAGTTACATATCTAACATTTAAACATTCATATTTAAATGCTTACCACTTAAATCTTTAACTTTGCTTTTAAAAAAACCACCATCACTATTTTTCTAAAATTGAAATTCACCTTTTCATGCATATTTTGATGACATCAAGGTGTTATAGTGCAAATATCAAACTTTGGACGTTAGATATGTAAATACATAAGAATTGTGTTGGAAAGTATGTAAATTTTCAAAAAAGCATTAAGGAAATAACTCAGCCTATAGCTTACCAAATGAATGGGCAAACTTATCCCAAACTGTCGGCCCTCTTCCATCCTCATTTACTGCTCCCTCATACTACAAACAAAATAACAAAATGAGTTCGAAACTGAAAGGATGTCGTTCGCATTTTTAAGAAATAATGAGCAAATAAAACAGAAGTAAACACACCAAGAATTTTATATAAGTTCACCAAAATTATGGTCATGTCATGTTACTACCACTATAGATTTCACTATGGTCATGTTACTACCACTATAGAATTTCTCATATATCATCCAAAGATGTTCTCCCTGGATCACTTTTAATTTGTAATTTTTATTTTGTTTCATTTATGGTTTGATTTGAAACAAAATTTGTTTCTCATATTTGATTGAGATAAAATTATTTTTAAATACAAGCATTTCAAAAAAATATTAATTTACTTTTAAAAACAATAAATAAAATCATGTAAAAGCACTTTAAAAATAATAAAATTGATCCCAAATAAGACCTAAATAAACAAAAAAAAATATAGTAAGATCCCGAAAGTTGGTCCACCAGAGGAGAAAAATTTA